TCTTCCGGCTCTTGCAGTGTGCGGGCGGTACTGTACCATGCACCCAAAAACTCGTAACATTTTTGTGTTGCCCAGTTTTCCTGTCCACAGCAGGTGCGGTGATGCGTTGTTCGGGAGTGATGACGACGAGAGCAAGTTGTGCAGCATGACAGCGTGGTCCATCGCCTCGGGCCACTGGTGATTGGGCAGTCGCATGCCACGCAGTAATTTGCGCATGGTGTTCTGGAGAGTCCTGTTCATCCGTTCTGCCACGCCTTGCTGTTGATGGGCGTAGGGAAGCGAGATGAGTCGCTTGATGCCTCGTTCGGCGAGGTACTGCTTGAATCTTTGGGACTGATATTCCCCTCCTCCGTCAGACTGGAAGCTTTTCAACTTTGCTCCCGATTCTCGTTCTGCCACAGGTAGCCAGGCGACGAAGGCTTCGAAGGCCATGTCGCAACTTGGGAGATTAAGATGCCAGACGTAATGGGTGGCGGCGTCGATGAAAGTAATCATGCAATTATATGCTTCTTGTCCTTGTTCGCGAGTATACAGGATGTCGCTGTATACTTTCTCGAGTGGTGCATAAGCCGGCGCGCTTGGATTGTGGTGAGAGACGAACGGTTGATGTGGTAAGTCGGCTTCGGGACAGGTAAAACATGTTCCTCGGACTCGTTGGAGTTCTCTGCCATCGGGTAGAAGAAGTGAATCTTTGTCGAGTACAGCTGCCTTGATTGTATTGTTTAACGTGGTGTTGCTTGGATGACCCAGTCGTTCGTGCCACAGGGATTCGCTCGCACGATGTCCTGGTGAGCTTCTGTATAGGTCGGAGTTGGAGTAAAAGCCCGCGGTGAAGTTGGCGCTTCTGTGAACCTCACGTGGAGTGGGAGCTAACTGCTGCGCAGGAGTCGGTGGAGTTTTGTCGATGAAGGTTGGTGCCGTCGAAGAGCTCGCGATTGGTGTTGTAAGTGTTGCTGTTTTTGCCGATGTTGTCTCTGCTGCTGTCGATGTTGTTTCTTCTTGCCGGATTATTGCTAATGCTCGTGTTCTTTCTGCTTCAGGTATTGTATGCGAATACCAGAATCCTCCGGGCTGAAGTCGGGATCGAGGTCCGGTGGATGTGTCCAAGAAGCGAAGTTGACGATGGCGTCGCTGTCGGCAGTTCCTTGGTCCGGTACAAAATCAAGAACGAAGCCGTTGTTCTTCAATACTGCTCTGCCGATGTAGAGTCCTCCTTTACCGTGGAATAACTTGAACTCCTGAGCTGTGCTGTCTGCTTCAAGATGAATACCCTTCGCCATCAGTTGGCTGGCGCTTAGTAGGTTGTAGCCGAGTCATTCTGCAATCAAAACTTTAGACATTTGTAAGATGACGTTAGTTTCTCGAGACTGAAGTTGTACTATCCCTTGTCGTCGTGTGTGCAGGTTCTGGTTGTTGGCCACGGTGATGACGACTTCACGCTGAAGTTGATGTTCTTGTTGTACGAAGCGACTCGAGGAACACATGTGCTGTCCGCAGCAACTGTCCAAGAACCAAGTGTCTTGGCCAGATGGCTCGCTCTGGGCGATGGCTGCATACGTCGGGTTGGGCTCCAGTGATTCGCGGGGAGGAGTCCTTTCATCGAGCCGTTCTTCTGGTGAGTAGTGGGGTGGTGATCCGGTGATGCAGGAGTCCGTTGTTTTTGTCATGCAGCTCACGATGTTTCTTGCTCCTTGTGTAGGTTTTGTTGTTGAAGATGTTGAAAACTGCACTTGACTGGTGGGATGTGCCTGCGTAGAGGCGACTTGACTGCTTGGAGGCCGAAGTTGACGTTGCGGCGTTGTCGACTGCTGCTGATTCGGACAGTGTGTGCGAGGATGTCCAGACGTCTTGGAGAGGTGACAATACGGTGGGACGTAGTGTTGAGTCTGACGGTTGTTTTGTCGATTGTTGTTGTAGTGTCGTTGAGTGTGGAACGCGAATTCTGGTACTGACGTTTTCTTCTTGTGTCGTTCTTCGTGCAGGTCCATATCCTGCTGTTCAGCGTGAATTTCGGCGCAGAGTGATGCTTCGGAGATCTTCCCGTGAGCTCGAAGGAGTGCTCGATTGGAGCGCCAATGAGGACCAAGGCCAGCAATGATGACTGTTACAAAAGCTTCTTCGGATATTGATCCTCCGCATCGAAGGAGTCTGTCGCGTAGTCCGCGACAACGGCTAATATAAGCCATTCCCTTTTCGCCGGGTTTCATTTCCACTGTTGTCAATTGTGCCATGAGACGACTCTGGTTAACACTGTCTGTTGCTGGATACATGCTCTTCAGGTGGTCGTATGCCAGCTCGGCGGAGTTGCCGTATCCTCGATAAGACCGAATGTTTTGCTGCTCGTTTGGTGTTAAATTTCGGAGAAGTATCGTGTACGCCATCAGCGATTGATACGTATACTGCTGCTTGTCGTACTGTGTTCCGTGTACTGGATATGACAGGGACCCGTCGAAGAATCCGAGAATTTGCGCGCCCTCCATCATCAGCTCAAATTCAAATGACCAGATATAAAAGTCCTTTCCGTCGAAAAGCATTGACGTTTGAAGTTTTAGAACGTGTGCGAATTGCGATTGCACCTGAAGCGTGTCCAGCGTCCTATCTTCTCCAGGTGAAGACTGTGGTTGCGGCGCGAAACTGATGGAGCCGCGTTGAGGTTCGTACGGGGCAAAGGTGGGTTGTTGCTGATTTCGGCGCGCGTAGGATGATCCGTCAAGACTCATTGGTGTTGCTCTGTTGTTGTTATCGCTGTTGTTTGATTACGCAGGAGCTGCTTGCTGGTGTTGCTCGTAGAAGGACATGAAGGAGAAAAAATTCTCCATCATACTTGGGTCGAAACTTGCTGCTTGGTTTCCGGGAGTTTCCGTTGACTCCGCAACTGGTCTTATAGCTGTGCCTCAGGGACGTCGCTAGGATCTAAGGGTACCTGATGAAGCAGATGGGCCCTTCGGGGGAGAGAATTAGTGTAATCGCGGTGAAAATGGCTGGGTTGGGCCTTTGTAAGAGAGCAAGGGAGAAGAAGGACCCCCCAAAACCCCAACGCCCGACCGCATATCCCAGTTGACGAAGCGCGCATGGCTCCCGAAAACTGTGGGTGGCACCACTAGACTGTGGGTTTGTGGTGCTGGATTGATGACTGTTGTACAAAACTAACCAATCCCTCACTTGTGACAGGCCACGTACGACAGAAACGGTCATGCGTGGGCAAGTCGTGACGCAGACATCACGTGAGGTCAGCATAGAACCTGACTGTTTGCCTGTTGCAGCAGCATTTTGTTGATGTGGTGGCAAAAGATACACGTGGGAGCACGGGCCGCGAAATGTATGATGCATACATTCCGGTATTCAAGGGGAAACACCCACACCACGCCTTGTTCACGCGTGAATCACGCCCAAGGGTAGAAAGATCCGGTAACAGACGAAACCGGAAAGTGTTCCTGATGAATCAGAGGAACATGGAAAACGTATCTGATGGATCAGATACAGAGGAAAAGCATTTCTGAAAGAACAGATTTCACTAAATGCTAATTTCTGAATCATCAGATTAAATCAAAAAATAGCCTCCAAATATAGGACAAACAGACCAAAAATTTCTGCTAGCGACAACCCTGCTGTGCCTTCTTCTGTCTGTAGGCCAGAAGCTGGAGGTGGAGTAGGAGTAGTACCGAGAGATCCGTTGGAGGAGCTCCTCTCTTTTCGTGTTGCCATGTCTTGAGTTGTTGTAGGTAATTTAAAGAAGGAGATGATATTGCCCTGTCTGCTCTCATACCATGTTGGGCTGAGAAAAGCCCTTAGGATCTTTCAGGACTAAGATCAAGTGTTGAAGTAGAGGTGTTGTAATTGCGGAAGCGTTGTAATATCAGAGTTGCTTGAACCACCTTGTACTGGTATGTGAGAACAAGATAAGTTGATTAATAGCAAGGAAATACAAGCCTTTTTATATGACTACGAAGGAATATGAAAGGTTCTACTTTTAACTGTTTTTGCTGTTGCGATTCGATACAGTGCCGACTCGGGTAACTGCTCAGTAACGAGTCAGTTATGTGTCCTTGCTGTTGCACTGTAGTTTTCGTCAAGTCAAAGGTCAGCGACCTTTGACCTTCGCGTAACCTCCAGCGGTTGTTTTTGTTGACTCGAATGTTTCTTCGCTGTAGTCAGCTCCGTTTCGTGTCGACACTTCGATACGACAGAAGCGTTAAATTACTTGTTTCCAACAGCTTCGACTCTTCCGACTCCTCGTCTTCGTACTCGGTAGAGTCGGCTCTTGCATCATACAGGAATGCATTACTCATTTTTCATATCGTAACAAGTAACATCCGGGTGGGATCATTGCTGCTCCCGCTGCTGCCGCTGCTGCTGCTGCCTTGGCTGCCTTGACTTCCTTGACCGTTTTGACTGCCGGCGCTGCTGCCGCCTGCATTGACCTTGCGGCCGGCGGGAGCAGGAGAGGAAGCTGACGCGGCAGGGGACACGTCAGCATTGGGAGTACCGGTGGCGGGGCCGCCACCAGCAGTGCTGCTTCGTCCGAAAGAAGAGCCTTCGATTCTAGGAGTTGTGGCAGGGGCAGTTGTTACAGGAGGAGTTGTTGCAGGGGCGGTAGTGCCAGGGGCGGTTGTTCCAGGGGCAGTTGTTGCTGGGCCGGTTGTTGCTGGGGGGGTTGTTCCTGGGTCGGTTGTTACAGGGGGAGTGGTTCCCGGGGGATGGTTGCTGGGGGTAGCAAAAAGTGGACGTTTTTAGTGTCAGGTCCTACAGCATGCATTGGGCTTGACAAACCCTGTAAACAGCGCTGGTTTTCTCTCCTCCTCGCGCGACCTATGCATGGTTATGTGTGCCACTAAACGTAATCCTCGGTACCAGCCCATCAACATCAACGGTTCTCGCTGCCCTACAGCCAGCCGAATATTGACTGCAGCGGTAATACTTCCTCAAGAAGGAAGCTTCCCCTTTCCGATGGATTATCTTGTTGCCATTGTTGTGCCACCGGTGGTTCTCACCACTCAAACTCACGCTTGCACCTGCAGACGCATGCAAAGCTGAGGCATCTGAACCTGACGCAGCAGATTCTGCAGCGGTAAGGGTGGAATGAACTGATTTGGAGGGAGTGGGTGAAATGGTGGGAGTGCTTGGGGCGGTAGGAGTGGGAGTGAAGGCAGAAGCTCCGATAAGCTTCGCCCTCTTGTTGCCCTTCTTCCTTATCTCGCGTATTCTCCTTTTCAAGGGCCCTAGGTTGTCCCCAACTTTGGAAGCTTCCAGCTTGGAAGCTTCCTCCGGCTGCACTGCTGCTGAAGCGTCTCTGGCCAATCCCACGGCAGCGGGTGAAGCGTCTCTGGCCAATCCCATTGCTTGCAGTTGAAAAGGGAAGGCGGCGCTACCAGCAAACAAAGGGTTTCTCAATAAAGCGTATGGGGTGCATGGCAGTTGAGTCGGGTGGCTGTAGAATGGATTCCAAGGAAGCTCCAGAGGAAAAACAGAAGGGTGAAACTGCTGACAGGTGCTCAAAGGGTGTGACGGGGAGTCCAAGGGTTCAATGAAGCTTCCATCCCCAAGCATGGCACCCCCCTTGCACCCTGGCGTTGCCAATGACGAGCGTCGCTGGGCAGCTAACCGTGCTCCTTCCTCCGCAGAGAGCAAGCGAATTTTCTTCCCAGAATATACCAGGTCAGGAGACGCAGGAGGCTCGGGTTCGTTAAGATCAGCCTCGCCTAACGCCTCTGTTTTTTCCGAGAGGTGCGGAGAAGCTCGGTCGTCGCCCCCCATGCTGCTGCTAGCCACCACCACTGTGCCGCTGCCGCCGTCTGCCGTGCCGCTGCCGCCTGCTCCCGTGTCGCTAGTAACCACCACTGTGCTGCTGCCGCCCTCGTCCCCAACAGCAGCGTTGCTGCCGCCCTCGTCCCCAACAGCAGCAGTGCAACTCCGTGAGAGGCGTGCAGAAGCTATGTGCGATACGATTTTACCCAGCGATGGCAAGCGTTGCAGGGCAGCCAACTGTGCTCCTTCCTCTGCAAAGAGGAACCGAATTCTCTTCCCAGAGATTACCGGTTCAGGAACAGCAGGAGGCTCGTGTTCGTTAAGAGCAGCCTCGCTTAACTCCTTTGTTTTTTCCGAAAGGTGCGGAGAAGCTCGGTCGCCGTCTCTCATGCTGCTGCTAGCCACCTGCACTGTGCCGCTGCCGCCGTTTCCCTTGCCGCTGGTATCCAGCACTTTGCCGCTGCCGCCCTCGCAAGGAGCAGTGCAGCTCTGTGTGAGGTGTGCAGAAACAATGTTGCTGTCTCCCATGCCGCTGCTAGCCACCCGCGCTGTGCCGCCGCCGCCCTCGTCCCCAGCAGCAGCGTTGCTGCTGGCAAACCCGCCATTCTCACTCGCCAAAACTCGGTTGCCGTCCCCCATGATGCATCTGGTAACCAGCACTGCGCCGCTGCCACCCTCACATGCAGCACTGATGCTGCTGCCTACTCCGCCATTCTCTCTCGCCGCGTCCCCGAGCGAGACTGTGTTACCCAGCGCCGCATTTCGCCGCATGTTTGTGGTCGACTTAGGCCTAGCAGCTGCGTGGTTGCTACCACTCGCACCCGCCTGTATCTTGCGTCGTTTTATCTGCTGCAGCAGTCCTGTGAAAGTCAACCTGGTACCACCATCACCAGCGCCAGCAGTATCACCACCGGTGGTAACGGCGGCGCCAACACCAGCACCCTGGCTCCCGTGCTGCTGCTCTGCCGTGGCGCCACCTTTTGCACCAGCATCGGCGTTATAAATAGCAGAATTTTCAGCATCGGCAGCATCAGCACCACCAGCAACATCACCAGCTGCAGCGCGAACGAAAGCTCTCTGGCTCCCGTGCTGCTGCTCTGCCGTGGCGTCATCGATGTATTTCAGAAACAAAACAGCAAGTTTTTTTCCGCGACGTATCGCAGCAGCATCGGCGGCGTTAGAAATAGTATCAGCGTCAGCACCGGCGGTAGTGCGAACGCCAGCAGCGTGACTCACGTGCTGCTGCGCTGCCGAGGCGTCGTCTTCTGCATCAACACAGGCATCATAGGTAGCACCAGCGTCAGCGTCAGCGGTAACACCATCGTCAGCATCAGCACCACCAACATCACCGACGGCAGCGCAAACGCCAGCAGCCTGACTCACGTGCTGCTGCGCTGCCGTCGCGACACCTGCCGATTCGGATTCGACTCTCGGAATCGCCGTCCGCTGAGCAGAATCGCCGCTTACTATCGGCGTTTCTGATTCGCCGCTTACTATCGGCATTTCGTATCCGCCGCTGCCTATTGATAGCATGAGATCTAAATCAAGCATCCCCTGCAGCAAAGGCCGAGTCATTGCCATATTCAGCTTCCGTTGAGTACCAGCCGCTAGACTCGCGGGCAGAGCATCAAAAGAAGCGCTGGCGAGAAACAAGGTCAAACTTTCGACCACCAATTCACGTGTTCCTTCTCTTGCGAGAAACTAATATACTCACACCACATCGCTTGCAGTTTGCGACATAGTAGTCGGATGACTTGCAGAACATCTTATATCGTCAACAGTACAACTCTTTGGTCCGACTGGGATTGAACAGTACTTTGGTCCGACAGGTGTGCTCTGCTGGTGAAGCAACCGAACCAAACCGGTTTGAACCGACCAAGGCTCTGGTCAGAACCGAAACATGGCGGGGACGGTCTGAAAGAAGTGAGGGGGACCGCACCACACACCACCTCGTCCGAGCCGACTCCGAACCGAAACGTTTGCAGGGGATGGTCTGAAAGAAGTGGACCACACTCAACCTTGTCCGAACCGACTCCAAACCGAAACGTTTGCGGGGGGATGGTCTGAACGAGTGGAGTACACTAAACCTCACCCTTTGTTATGAGTTGTAAAAGAGAGTGCGCAGTTTAACGAATAACGAGAAGTGATTGAACAGACTGATTATAAAATGAAGGTACAAGCTTATATAGTGAGTATGCTAGCTAGGAGGGAACTTCGGGTGAGTGAGGTTGGGTGCAGGTTTGGCGAAGAGGAAAGCCGAAGGCGACGCGCAGAGGCTCGGCATCGTTGATGTCGGCCAAACGTGCAGAGTCTGAAAATCGGGGCTGTACGCAAAGCAGTCAACCCCGATAAGGAATTCGGGAAAATTCCTTACACCCTTAGGAGGTGTAACAAGAAAATGTTACAGTGATTCTCAATCGCCAGAAACAAGTAACGGTCGACAATTTCGTCTGGTCCTTCATTTCCACCCTTGTCGGCACCCACGGAACCACGCGGAGCACGTAAAACGGATTTCTGATCGGTGGAAAACGGGTTTGCCTGGTGAATCTAATGGTGGAGCAGCTTCGTCGCACCACCAAACCTGACCTTACCTGCAAGAGTCTCGCGCGAAAGTCGCTTCTCACTTGCTGCACATGAAACAATTCTTCAGGATTCAACGCGTTTGGAAATCCAGATTCGTGTCAACATGGAATAGAAACGCGGGTAATTACATTCTGGGTAACCAACATTGAGCCCGCTGACGTCAAAAGTCACCTACGTGGCTCGATGGTACCCGTCAGATCATGCGCGCCCCTTGGTGGTACCCATCTTCCCTCCGTGGTACCCATCTTCCCTGCGTGGTACCCATCAACTGTGCGCGAATTCCCTGACTGGTACCGCAACATTTCAACCGAGCTGTACACCGTACAACAAGGGTGTCAATGCGTTTTTCACTATATTGTCTTAACGTTTACAAGCTCAATAGAGTCCGAAGCCCGAAGTGCCACATAATCGGGTCAAATTTTCAAGCGCATTACCTATAATAAAGTGTAGAAGAAAAGCTGAATTTAGGAAAATATTTATTGTGTAGATTTCTTTAGGCTCATAAACATCCACATTATAACGTGCTATAATTTAAATCACCACAAATATATTGCATCAACCGAAACACAAAATTTAACATCCGTCTAACAAACGATCAACTGACACGTAATATATATATTGACTTAAGGTTATTTGATTTTCATTAATGGGTATTGTTTTGTTTCCAGAAACCAACGAATGTACGTATTATTTGTTTATGCTTTTCTATTTAGCTGTGGGGGTACATGCTCAATTTATTTGCATACAACCTTATGAACTTTGTTCAGATTACCAACTGCGCGCTGAGAAACATGGTCGTAAGATTCACGCTACCTATCGCTCAGTGATGTGAGCTTACAAAGGCTCGGAGGTAACGTGAGGATTTTAGAAGGGGAGTTGATTTTTTCTAGGTTGCACTCTATCCAGTGTAAGGCACGTTCAAAGGTATTAATGTTCAAATGTATTAATGTTCAATTGCAGACAGAAAACGTTGGTATATGTTAGAATAGAAACGAGAATGAATGGACTAAGGGAAAGTTGGGTACAAATGTAAACCCTAGAAAACTGTACCCCATATGTGCTACCCCACTATAGCCTACAGTAGCTATGTCATATAAATCTGACACACCCCCATAGGCAAAGTGGGGGAGAACAAGGGGTCACAAGACCAGTCAAGCAAAGCAAAGCAAGCTCAGGGTGGATCACAAAGTCACCACACATTCCGAGCACAAGTTCAAGGCCACAAGGCCAGTTCACATGCAGGATCACATATATATATAAGGCTAGACAAGCAAGAGCAGGTGTATATATATATGCAACAGTACAAACAAGGTCAAGGGGTGAGCAAGTGAGGCAAGGTAGGCACAAGACCCAGCTGAGTACAGAAGCGCTGATGATCACAAGGCGCAAGTGCCTTGGTGAAGATATCAGCAGTGTTGGCCTCAGAGGCCACGTACGCAAGCCGCAGCTGACCACGCTGCTGTAGCTCACGAGCAAGGAAGTAGCGGAGAGCAATGTGCTTCGTTCTGTGCTCCAGTCTCTGCTCTCGACACAAGGCCAGCATGGCCTTGTTGTCTACGTACAGCACTGGAGGAGAACGAGGCGGCTCTCCGAGGTCAGTCAGCAGGTAGGTGAGCCAGCGAAGCTCCTGTGCAGCCATGGCCCCGGCGTAGATCTCAGCCTCACAACTGGAGCCGAGAACAGAAGACGAGCGGGTAGCCCGCCACGAAACAGAGCCGGAACCAAGGCTGAAGGTGTAACCCTGTGACGACCGCTGCGTAGCCTGGTCGTCAGCCCAAGAAGCGTCTGCGTGCCCAGTGAGGACCACTGGACTCTGCCCTCCAAGCACAAGCCCCATGCCCGACGTACTGCACAAGTAGCGCAACACCCTCTTCGCTGCAGCCATGTGCTCCGGTCGGTGTCTCCCAGGAGCAACATAGCGTGCGAGAATGCTAAGAGGGTATGCAAGGTCAGGTCGTGTGCAGGTCATCAGGTACATGAGGCAGCCAACAAGCTCTGGGTACGGGCCACTCGACTCTACGGACTCATCCGAAGGCAGAGCTGAGAGCGAGTGGCGAGTAGGCAGAGGAGTGGCCTGAGGCGAGGAGTACGTGAAGCCGAAGCGCTGAAGGACCTGCTGCACCATGTGTGACTGAGTCAGGGTAATGGTGCGGCGTGCTCTGTCCCGGGTGATCTGCAAGCCAAGGTAGCTGCGCAGTTCACCCAGGTCTGTGCACGTGTGTCTCTTCTGCAGCTCGGACTTCACGTGGGCGAGTCCAGCAGTGTCAGCTGTGGCAAAGACCAAGTCGTCGACGTACACGAGGATGTAGAACGGCGGCAAAGAAGTGTCGGTGCGCAGAAACAGCGACGGGTCGGCAGTAGAGGGAGCAAACCCAAGAGCCGCAAGTGTAGTCCTCAGTGTGTCGTGCCACTCACGCGGTGCCTGGCGGAGACCGTAGACTGGCCGCCGGAGGCTCCACTGGGTGCCAGGAGGAAAAGACCCAGTGAAGCCAGGTGGGCGACGCAGCCAGATCTCCTCGTGCAGGCTGCCCTGCAAGAAAGCAGTGCTGAAGTCAAGAGAGTGCAGCTCGTAGTCGCGGTGAGCAGCTATGTGCAGCAGTACCCGAAGAGTGGTCATCTTCGGGGTGGGAGAGAAGGTCTGAAAGTAGTCAACTCCCTGCCGCTGACTGAAGCCACGAGCCATGTAACGCGCCTTGAAGACAGGCGGAGAACCCGGCGGCCGCTTCACCCTGAAAATCCACATGCCACTGACGATGTTCGCCCCAGGCGGGGGAACCTCGTCAACGTAGGTGCCTGTGGACTTCCAGGAAGCCATCTCTGTGTCCATAGCTGCCTGCCACTGAGAGGAGTAGGGACCCTCTATCGCCTCCGCGTAAGAGCGCGGAGTCGGGATGTCAAGTGCATCCGGGTCTCCCTCAGGGGTAAGCAGTACGGACACGAGATGAGGTGAAGCAGCAGCCAAACACTGGAACTCCTCCTGCCTGTCCTCAAGGACGTCCGTGCCAAGGGCACACTCACCCCCGACAAACGGAGGACAGACAGACTCAGACTCATCGACAAGACTAGCAGCGTAGTCTAGACGACAGCGAGCAGCAAAGTCGACGAGCTCAGCAACTAGGGCAGACGCAGCAGTGGACTCAAAGGAAGGGTCAGTGACGACAGTAGCAAGGAGACGCGTGACAGTAGGA